CACACACACACACACACACAATAACAGCAGTGATAAGAAGTATGACCAGGAAGAAGTACTTAAGATTGGAGGCCGGCATTCCAAGTTTAGTACTATCTGAGCTCTAAAGTTCAACATATGGTTTGGAATCTAAAAATCAGAAGGTAACTGTAGGAAGCTATCACATTATGCGTATTAGGTTGAAGGAAGGTTATATTAAAGAAAGAAGTGACTGAAGATAGGAAGGCCTACTGAAAAGCTAGTTACAAAAAATGCCAAGTAGTCCTGAACAAAGCCAGTGATAATAATAATGAATCTTACTAACGTACTTCTTTGATCATCTTGTCCATTACTCAAAAATAACTCCTCAATCTCATACCAGGCATATAAAGTCTTCCTACAACTTGGCTGAAATATCTGTGTAATCCCAATGTGTCTCTGTGTACATTCAAGACTACACAAATTACGCAGATTGTTTATATTGTCCCAATATTGATTGTTTTCTCTAAATGCTATTATGAGCTGTATAATGTTTTGATGGACCAAATATAAAATGGTGGACCCATACTATTGAAGTGGAATTGAGTAATTCCTATTCATAGTGACATTGAAGCCACTGTAATATCATAATGCATTCTCAAGTCTGTATGTGGCGACATGGGTAAATAAAACATTTGTGCTGCCTAGCATATAAAAATACAACACACAGGGCTGAGAAGGTGGCTCAGTGGTACAGCACTTGCCTTGCATGCATGAGGCCCTGGGTTCAATTCCTCAGCACCACATAAGCAAAGAGAAAAAAGCCAGAAGTGTGGCTCAAGTGGTAGAGTGCTAGCCTTGAGCTGAAGAGCTGAGGGACAGCGCCCAGGCCCAGAGTTCAGGCCTCACGACCGGACCCCCCCCCAAAAAAAAAAAAAACCACACAGAATTATGTCTAGTACATAATATTTTTTAGCAATGATAATAAATGGCTATTATTAGAGCTTACTATAGTAAGTTATTATATAGCAGATTCACACATTTCCTGATTATTTCATCTCTTGATTATATGAAGAGGTCATGATGAGTAACTTGATCTAAAACATGCACTGTTTCTATAACTTCAGTCCATATTTGCACAATTAAATCACCTAATAACACTTTATCAGGATATATCCCGTCTGGTAAGTAACGTATAAGTGGACATAAATGTTTTTTGCATACATACTATTACCACTGTCTATAATACCCTTGGTCCCTTCTACCAAACACTCAATTCAATTATCATCTTAATTTATTTCTCTTTGAACATGTATGGAACTTTATTTGCATCTTCATTTTTTTTTCAACATGTTTTATATCCCCATTTATATTCTTTCTTTCTTTCTTTTTCTTTTTTTTTTGTCAGTCATGGGACTTGAACTCTGGGTTTGGGCGCTGTCCTTATGCTTTTCAGCTCAAGGCGAGCACTCTACCGCTTGACCCACAGTGCCACTTCTGGTTTTCTAGCAGTTTATTGGAGATAAGAGTCTCACAGGCTTTCCTGCCCGACCTGGCTTTGAACTGTGATCCTCATATCTCAACCTCCTGAGTAGCTAGGATCACAGGGGTGAGCCACCTGCCCTCAGCAAGTTTCTTGTTTTATATCTTGTTACTAAGTTACCCCAAGTATGTACAGCTGGTAGGTATCTGTTATGGACTGAATATGTGTCATGATGTCCACACTGAAACTCCTAATCCCCTGGAGACAGGGCCTTTAAAGCCATGATGGCATACACCTATAGTTCCAGCTACAGGAGAGGTTAAGAAAGGTAGAGAGCTTTGAGTCCACTAGTTTTGGGTCAGTCTAGCTAACATAGAAGATCCCATCTCTTAAAAACATATGAAATGAAAGTCATAAGTGATATCTTTATAAGAAGAGAAGCTGCCGGGTGCCGGTGGGTCACGCCTGTATTCCTAGCTACTCAGGAAGTGGTAGAGCGCTTGCCTTGAGCTGAAGAGCTGAGGGACTGTGCCCAGACCCAGAGTTCAAGCCCCACAACCAACAACAACAACAAAAAAGATAGAGAAAGAAGCTGGTACCAATGGCTCACATCTGTAATGCTAGCTACTCAGGAGGCCGAGATCACGGTTTGTCGCCAGCCAGGGTAGGAAAGTCCATAAGACTCTTATCTCGAATTAACCACTAAAAAATAGAAAACAGAACTACAGCTCAAGTGGTAAAGTGCCAGCCTTGAATGAGAAAACTAAGGAACAGTGCCCAGGCCCTGATTTCAAGCTGCAGTACTGGCACAAAAACAGAAGGAAAAAGAAGAGACACCAAAGGTCCCTCTCCAACTATGCACAAGTGTAGGAAGTTATATGAAAATATAGTGAAAAAAATGACCATCTGCAGGTCAAGAGAGGCCTTAATAAAACCCAAGAGAGGCCTTACCAAAATCCAACACTGATAGTACCTTGATCTTGGACTAATAGCCTCAGAGAAACTAAATTTCTGTTGTTAAGCCACTGAGTCTGTGTCGTGTTGTTATGGAAGCCTCAGTAGAAATACAATGCCTAATAAGTTGAATGAATGTTAAAATGGAACTTAAGACATCCATTTTTGGATTCTTTGGCTATTGTTACTCACTTCTATGAGCTCCTTAACTCAAGTAATGTCATGTGATAAGGCAAAGGCTACCAATGGGCTGGTAAAACTCAAATATTTAATACACTTCAAATTATAAGAAATTTGTTTTATCCTACTTAACATTTCCAGCCCCAAGATTTTTGCTGTCCTGTTGAGCGTTAAACCTTGAACCTCACCAATGGAACCTCACCAATGAGGCAAGTGCTCTACCACTCAACTCTATACCCAGTAAACATTTCCACAAGTATGTGCATTTACCTAGCATTGTTATCACATTAAACTTGGCTGTTCAGATGACTCTTGTCTAAGAATTAGTTCAAGTGAAGAGAGCACAACCACACATAAATTTCTTTGGTCCAATGTCCATTTATGAAGTCAGTCTGCTTATGTTATCTTAGAGAATAGAATGTTATCTATTCAAATGGATGGAAGCAGCAAAGAAAATTCTTACTCTAGGTTTACCATTTTTCTTTTCTTTTTTGGGGGGGGGGGTTTGGTCGTGGGGCCTGAACTCTGGTCCTGGGTGCTATCCCTCAGCTCTTCAGCTCAAGGCTAGTGCTCTACCACTTGAGCCACAGCGCCACTTCCGGCTTTTTTCTTTTTTCTTATGTGGTGCTGAGGAATCGAACCCAGGGCCTCAGGCATGCAAGGCAAGCACTCTACCAGTGAGCCACCTTCCCAGCCCTCCACCCCCAGTTTTCTTTTCTGACACTAGATAGGTCAATGACATGTAAACATATTTTTCAGTAACTTTAAATATGTATTTTTAAATGGTTTTTAAATTGAACTCTAAACAGCAGGACACATCTGCATTGGAACAAATAACTTTCATAGCGACTCAATCAAATTTAGACCTTTGTTCTTGAATTCACAAGTGATTAATAAGAACTAGACCTCAGATGTCAGAATGCTAAACAGAAAAGCGTACATAGGCTTTTTCTTAAATATTACACATTTTTCTCCCCTTGGAGAGTTTAGGCAGGCAAGAAATAGCACCAAAACAGATAGTGCAGCATTAATTCTCACAAGGGTACAAACGTTCCGTATATGCAAAACAGTAAATGTGGGCCAATATTTTTATCCTCTTGTGTCAAGTCAACGAGTTCTCTCACTTTCTCCTTTCTCACCAAACCTGCAGGCTTAAAAAGGAGGTTAATGGCAGAGGCTGAAAGCTTGAGTTCAGAGAACCCAGAGCCTTACCACCCCTACTCGGACTCTGAGCTCGGCTCCACTGACCGCGGAAAGGCCGAACACTTTCCAGGCGAAGGCCCGGGCGGCACTGGAGGGCCACCGGCGCCCCGCCGCCCCACCCCGCGGGTGGCCTGGCTACCCAGGGCCTGCCCCGCGCCCCCCATGACCTCCAGGGGCGTGAAGACAAACAGCCTCCGAACGCCGGCTTCTCCCCACACGAGCTTATACTCCCTCCCAACATAGAGCCCGGAAGAGGATCTGAAGCGCTAACGGCAGGAAAAGTTTGCCACCCGAGGAAAATCCTGTCACCTGGAACTCCGCGAACTCCTCACAGTTCACACCGCCACTGGGCGCCGCCATATTGGACAAACGTGAGGACCCCGCTGCAGGCCAATCACCGAGGAGCAGAGGTGCCCGCGGCGCCGCCTGATCAAAAAAAGAAAGAAAAGAAAAGAAAGAGAACACAGGTAAACCTAGAGTAACCACCGCCCTGGCCGCCTCCTAGCCATTTCGAGCCCAGTCGTCGTGCTGACTATTCATTCACTCCAACCCCGTTAACAAGACTGAAGTGGCCAAGATGGGATCGTTTACTCCAGTGCCCATCTTCTTACAGAGGGGACACGGTGCACTCCAACCCTGGTTATTAGAAAGGGAATCCTAGGAAACGGAGCCTTTTCTAATCCTTCCTATCCAGTCAGTGTCCACCTTTTGTCCAGAGAGGCATCTGGGATTTGAGATGCTTAAAGTAACTCGGGCATTTCTGGCAGCGTCGGTGGGCACATTTCCTATTTTAAAAAGTCAGTTTCTCATATTGGCCCGAGAGAAGTTCCAAAGGCCACAAGACCTGGAGCCCGCGGGGACCAGCGGGCGGTGCCCGTATTCGTTGGGCACATGGGGAAGCAGTTGGCGGAGAGGCTGGCCTATCTGGATAGTGTATGTAGGGAATGGACAGCTCAGAAACGTGTCACGATTTTCCTCTTTAATGCTTTTCTTCTGTTTGAAGGCAAAAGCTCCCGATACCCAACTTAACGGGGGCACGCCCAAAGCGCTGCACACCCGGGCTCAGCGCCCACAAAGAGCCGGGGCTGGGACGGTGGCCCGCGTCTTCAGAGCGTCCCGCACGTCCCACACGTCCCGCGCGTCTCCCGCGCGTCACTCACACCCTATTGGCTCCGCCCTTTGCCCCGCCCTCCGGCGCCACCCGCAGCCTCCCCAGCCCGGGCCGGGTGACATTGAGTGCGCTGGCGCCACCGCACAGCGCGAGGTTCGGTGCGGACGGCGGAGGAGCAGGCGGCCATGGGCAGCTGGCGTGGCCTGCGACTGGCGGCGGGTGAGATGCAGGGCGGGCTGCGGGAGGGAAGGCCACCAGCGCGGCCGCTGGGGAGAGGGAGAAACCCGCGGTCCTCCAGACTCGGGAGTTGCTCTGCCTCCCCGTGCATCCCCTCCAGGGGACTCGGAATCTCACCCACTTCATGGAAGTGAGGGCAAAGCCAAGGCCGATCGAGCAGCTGCTGGCATGACCCTCGCACCTGCCTCTCCATCCACCTCCTCTCACCCACTTAAGGGACCCTTGAAGTCTCACTTCTGTTCCTCCTGGTCTACAGACACCCCCCCACCCGCTCCCTCCCCAGCTCAGTCCTTAGAACACCTGTTATTCTAGAACTTCGTCCTCACCTTCCTCACCCGTTACTCTACTCTTTCCCCCACTTCTCAATAATTCACTCTTGTGTAGAGAATCTGGGGTTTAACGTCTCACGAAATACTAGGGCTCGTTTTCCTAAGATATGGGACTATTACTTATAAGCAATCTGCAAGTCAGTGCTTTGAATTTCTTGGAAGAAAGCCTGATGAAAATGCAGGATCCATACCTTGTTTTCGAAGTAGGGGTTGTTTGTGGGGTAGGTATTTTAGGATTGACTTCTTTTCTGAGAAGCTAGCAGAATCTTGGCACCGCAGGGATTAAAAACTAAAAAGAGTATTTGCACTTGGACTTTTTGTGGATGTCAGGACAATTTGCTCTTTCGGCCACCATTCTGAGTTTTGTTGAGCTGTGATGATCTTTTGTTCCTTGGTACCAAATTATTAAAAAGTCATTTTTGAAGGAAGAATAACCCTAAACTTGGCTACTGAAATAATGCAAATGTATGTTGTAAATGTAAATGAAGCAATGCAAAAAAAAGTGAATGTAGAATTTTGATATACAGCCCCCCTAAAAAAGTTATACTTTGTGTCACAGTGGAAATACACTGGGAGACATGTCTGAACTGCAGAGGGTTAATCAGGTTATAGGTAAACCCCTGCATTAAAAAGAATAGTAAAGGGCTGGGAAGGTGGCTCAGTGGTAGAGTGCTTGCCTTGCATGCATGAGGCCCTGGGTTCGATTCCTCAGCACCACATAAGAAAAAAGCCGGAAGTGGTGCTGTGGCTCAAGTGGTAGAGCGCTGAGCTAAAGAGCTGAGGGACAGCACCTGGGCCCATAGTTCAGGCCCCACAACCGGACCCCCCCCAAAAAGAATAGTAAAGCCCTGTTAAAATTGTTGATTCATTTGATTTTATCTTTTCTGTACATTGTTATTAGGTGTAAGCTTTTCAGTAGAGTAAGTGAAGGAACCATTGCTTTGTAAAAAATAAAGAACTTCTAAGAGCAACTTTGTCTACTTGGAATTAAGACTGAAGGAGCTGATAAGTCTTTCCTACTTACTCTTCTTACCTTAGGCATCACAAATTCCAAAGCCTCTCTTCTTAAGCTTTCGGGGGTGTTTTACAACTTTACTATCAAGCACATAAACAAGTTAAAAAAAAAAAAACACCCATGGGCTGGGAAGGTGGCTCAGTGGTAGAGCACTTGCCCTGCATGCATGAGACCATGGATTAGATTCCTCAGCACCACATAAGGAAAAAGAAAAAAGCCAGAAGTGGTGCTGTGGCTCAAGTGGTAGAGCGCTAGCCTTGAGCTGAAGAGCTGAGGGACAGCACCAAGGCCCAGAGTTCAGGCCCCACGGCCGGACCCAAAAAACAAAAACAAAAAACAAAAAGCTGTATAATTTAAGAACAATTTATTTTATTTCAGGTAGAAAATATTAAATAGCACATTAAAGATGTTATATAAACAACTATGGTTTGTATTTTTGTTTGTTTGTTTGAACTTAGGGCTTCATATTAGGCAAGTACTCTACTACTTGAGCCATGACTCCCACCCTTTTTGCTACTGTTTTAGAGATAGGGTCTCTATTTTGTGCAGATTGGCCTGAACTGTATTGCTCCTATTTATACTTCCTGCTGTAGGGAGAATGACAAGCACACTCCACCAGGTCCAGCTTATTTTGTTAAAGATGTGGGACTCAAGAGTGTGTGTGTGTGTGTGTGTGTGTGTGTGTGTGTGTGTGTGTGTTCTGTGACTATTTTAGCAACTCTTTCCAAATGATTTGTGAATATCTTATGTTTCATGAGCAACTTCAAATGATTTGTCTTACCTTTTCCTATTTCACAGCTAAATACTTTCACATATTTATTTGATTGATTTCTTACAGCAGCTTTCTCAAGTAAGTCTTATTATCCCCTCTCCTTTTTATGAATGAAGAAATGTATGTCAAAGGGTTAAGTGATTTGTTCAAGACCACTTTGCCAGAAAATGTAAGAGCCGGGAATGGAGGTGGTGCCTTGTCTTCTGTGTCTGGAATTTGTGTTCTTTGCTATTGTTGAAGCTGCTCATTGGGATATTTGCCCAATTGAATCTTCTAATTGTGAATTTGAAAGGCCAAGAAATGAAGATTATTTTGGAAATGGGAATGTATGTACTTGTATGTAAATAGTTTTCAAGGAAGAAGACTGATTTGATAAGTAAACTCAACCAAAGGAATGATACATCAAATAGAAACATCATTTAGGCATACTTTACTTAAAGTATTATTTGCAATTAGATATTCTAGGTGATTAAGATTTCCGATACCAAAATGTAATCATTTGAGCAGTGTGCCTATACTTTTAATTACTTCCACTGGAAATATTGCTGTACTCCCTTAGCAAATAAAATGTAGGGTTTTATGAGTTTGAATTTTTTTATTGTTTTGTTGATGTAGATATAGATCTAAGGTTATTGCAGTGCTTGGACTTCACAGATGAGTGGTCTTGTGAAACTCTGAAAGTATATTCAGATTCTAATGATTATATACTGGTTTTATGAAGAGAGAGTATCCATAGTTTACATCTATTACTTAGAGAAAGGCATACAGATGTTTAGAAACTTAATACTGACTGATACATGTGGATTGTATGAGGGTAAAGACTGGATTTGTTTTTACTAAACCCTCAGCACTCTAGTTTATAGTAGATAGGCAAAAATTTTTTTTTCTTAATGGTAGAAGACTATGCAGTTAAAAGTTGAGCATTCAACACTTCCTTTCTTCTAAAAGTAGAAAAAAATTAAAAAGAATAAAGCAATGAAATCTTCCCACCATAAAACTAGTGTAAACTGATTTTTTTTCTGGTCGTGGGACTTGAACTCTGGGCTTGGGCGCTGTCCCTCAGCTCTTAAGCACTTGAGCCACAGTGCTACTTCCTGTTTTCTGGTGGTTTTTTGGAAATAAGAGATGCCCGGGCTGGTTTAGGACTACAATCCTCAGATCTCAGCCCCCTAAGTAACTATGATAACAGGCAAGAGTAAACTGATTTTTTTTTTAAAGTTATACTCCAGCCAGGCTCACTCCTGTAATTCTAGTTACTCAGGAAGCTGAGTCTGAGCATCTCAGTTCAAAACCAGTCCAGGCATAAAAGTCCATGAGACTCTTTATATACATTAAAGCCAGCTGGGCGACAGTGGCTCACTCATATAATCCAAGCTACTCAGGAGGCTGAGATCTGAGGATTGAGGTTTGAAGCCAGCAGGGGCAGAAAAGTCCCCCATGAGATTCTCATCTCCAATTAGCCACTCAAAAACCAGAAGTGGCACTGTGGCTCAAGTGGTAGAGCACTAGCCTGAGTAAAAAGAACATTAAGAACGGTGGCCTGGTCCTGAATTCAAGCGCTAGGAATGGCATCAAAAAAATGCCATAGTCCAGTCCTTTAATTTTTGCCTAGGAAATTTAAGACTTAAGAAGGGAATTGACTTATAAAGAAGGATCATATAGGTACAAAGCTGGCATATAACATATATCCTAGCTATCATTCTCATTTTATTTCTACCACATTCTAACCCTTCATTGTTCTTTTTTTTTTTTTTTTGTGCTCACGAACTAATCCTGAGATCATGCCCATTTAGTCACTCCCATATTTGACTTTGCTTATCACACTTCTCCAGGTCTGGCCTGGAGAAGTTTTCATTGAGCACATACTGTGTACTCTATACAAAAAGAAAGCTCAGAAATGAATGAACTGCTCTATATTAAATTCTAGATTACAGACCAGATTGTAAGTGCTGCTTCAGTAGCCTTGGCCTGTTCTTGCTGACATTGTGCACATCTTCCTAATTTAACAATTGGTGATACAGCATTGATAGCTTGAAATCTGCTATGGTGGCAGTTATTGGCAAACACTGTAAATCAGGGTTTCTCCACACTGGCTCCTTCCCAAGAACCAGTACACTACTGACTTCTAAAAAGTCCTGAAGGGTAGAATTATCAACCCAAAACTCCATTGAAACAGAAAGGGCACAAGTGACATTAGCAGAAGAGGGACAGTCTGGATTGTGTGAGGGAGGAAGGTCAACAGGAGAAGCTTGGATTACCTTGGCTTTTAATCTGATGGTGTTTTTTTTTTTTTAATATGTTTTGTGATTTTTTTTCCTAAATGAGGAATTTGAACCAGATGGATTTGGGGGGGGGAAATGTTTTCAAAAGATAAGTCATCCAAGAAACATCTTTGGAAAATTAACAAGGCTAAGTATGTACAAGATAAATTGTTGAAACCTTGTGAAAATATTACAATGGTCCATGTCTAAGGTGTTGGTGGGAATGACAAAGGAGTATATTTAAGAAGTGCCTTGAAGAAATTAGTAGTATGAATTTGACATTGGATAAAGATAAGACATAAAGTTTAGTATTTTGAGTGGGAAAGACAGCAAAACTTACCTACTGTCAGAAATATGAAAGTTAGGAAAGTAACGAGGAATACCCATACAGATTTATGTTGATTGGGCAGACAATTCACATTACTCTGTTGGGGGTGTTATTGAGTGATAGGTGATGATAAGACCTCTCAGTCAAAGACTTGAAGAGGTTAGAGGTAAAAATTTAGGAGCCATCAGAATAGAGCAGATTATTAAAAAAGAATAGCACAGTCCTTTCAGAGCAGCACAGAACTTGACTCGTGGAGGCCTGACATATTGAAAGTAAC